CTCCCCGGGGCTGGGCCGGGGTCCGGCCCTGGCGGGGGGCGCGCGGGGCCTGCGGAGGCCGCTCGCGGAGCCCCCCGGGCGCCACGGCCCCCTGCCCCTGCGGACACCGGCCACGCTGTGCCTTTGTCCCCAGAAGACGATGATGGGGTCCTGGAAGGGCTGGGCGACTTCTACCCGGAGGAACAGGTCGCTGTGCAGAAAAAGAAGAAATCCAAGAAGCTGAAAGACGGCAAGGCTTCCAAAATCAAGAGGAGGAAGAAGGAGGTAATGCCGTGCACTCCCCAGCGAGCCGGCGCTGCCTCGAGCCTGGCCCGGTGCTGGAGCCGGGGGCTCGGATAGAACCAGGGGCTCGGATGGAGCCGGGGCCTTGGGCGAACCCGGGGGCTTGGACACAATGCGGTGYCCAAGGTCCGGGACTCGCGTCCTCTCCAAGCGAGAGCTGTTGAGCGCGGCTCCGGCGGCGGCAGCGGCGCCGGGTCCCRCAGCCGCAGCTCTTTGGCTGCTCGTGCTTTCTGCCCCTCCATCCCTTTGGTACTCCATCATTTTTCCCGCACTCGCTAGGCTCCTCTCTCCAAAGCAGGTGAGACTCGGCAAGCGCGGTGCCAGCTCTCGCAGGGCGTTAGTTACCGCAGCGCATCCGGAGGGCTGGCGGCAGCGGAGGCCGGGGCGGCACTCGTAGCTGCCGAGGGGCTCCCGGTGCTGCGGAGCTGCTGACGGGCCCGGAGGGCAGAGCCAGCCCTGCGCTTCGGCGGCCGGGCGCCCTGCRGGGACGAAGCGGCTTTTCCTTCCCGCTGGTTGTGCTCACGGCTTGCTCCCTACAGCCCCGCGCGGAGCTGCCTGGGGCCGTCGGGCTCCCTGCTCCCCTTCCAGGGCAATCGCGTTTCCACGTGTTGCTTTCCTGGAGGAGKTGGGAATGAAATAAAGCACAGAGAGCGCTGCCCTGAGCAGCGAGGGGCCGTCCCCCCATTGCCACGTGTGCTGGGGGGCTGCGAGGGGCCTGGCCACCCTTGGGGGCTCTGTCACCCTCGGGATGGAGCCAGCGGAGGGAGGGGACGGGCCAGGCTGCCCCGGCGGTTGCCATGGCCACCATCCCTTGGCCACCGAGGCTCCTGCTGCAGCGGGAAGCGGCCGGGAAGCAGCGACGCTGCCCCGCGCGCGGGCCGGGCTGGGCAAGGCGGGCGCTGCGGGCAGCGGGGCCGGGCGCTGGCCGCGGTGCTGCCGGCGCCGCCCGCTCCCCGCGGCGCTGCCCGCGGCGCTGCCCGCGGCGGCGGCGCTGCATGCGGCGCGTGGCTGCGTCGCAGGGCGAGCGTCCATTTGCATGACTCCGGCAGAACATGGCTCCTGCGGCGCGGTGCCGACAGGCCCCCTCGGCGCGGCCCTGCCCGCTCCGCGGCCGCCTGTGCTCGGCGGCGCCCGCTCCGGCCATGGGGAACGTGCCCCGCACGGGTCGCTCCCCTTTCCCGAGGCAGAGCTTCCTGGCTGCGCCTCCTGCCTGCTCGGGGCTTCTCGGAGCTTCCATGCGTGCGGTTCGGGGCAGCTCCCCGCTGCCGTTCCCGAGGGAGCGGCTCCAGGTGGCTGCCAGCGCTCCCGGCGGAGCCGCTCCTGGAAGGGAGCTGAGGGAGCGCAGGGGCTGCCCTGCTCCATCCGCCCGCTCTGTTTCAGGGGAGCAACGATGAGATATCAGACAATGAAGAGGAGATAGAGGAGAAGTCAGAGAGCGAAGGAAGTGACTATTCCCCCAACAAAAAGAAGAAGAAAAGACTGAAAGAAAAGAAGGAGAAAAAGCCAAAACGGAAAAAGAAGGATGATGATGAGGATGATGAGGATGGAGGTCTAAAGGTACTAAAGATGCTTCTGCCCAGAGTCCTGCTGCTCTCAGGAGATGCTCCCTGTCCACAATTAGGATTTACTTGTTTAATTGATTATATCCAAAGCAAGCGGAACAGCAGCCACACCAGCAGCGATGCCGCAGGGCTCCCGCGTTGCTAAACGCGACTGTGTCTGTGGTCGCAGCGGCCCGGCCCGGGAAGGCCTCTCGCCGGGCCTGGGCGCAGACGCGGCCTCCCGCTCGCTGCCCTGGTGCTGCTGCCTTTCACGGGTCCCCCCGTGGCCCTGCTTGGGGACGGGAACACGCGAGGGCTTCGCGCTGCGGCACTGGGGCAGCGGCTGGAAGGTGCCGCCTTCGTTGCTTCTCGGTGGTGTGTGAAGCAGGAGCTTTCTGAGCCCTCGTGCGTGCTCTGTCTCTGGAGCTGTGGAGACAAAATCCACGTGTTGCCACATGGGAAGGGTGGCTTGGCCAGGCACGCGGCGGGCACTGCTGCTTGGAGTGTCCTGGCCGTTTACATTAATGACATTTCCTTGCAAACCTGTAGGAGCCCAAGAGCTCGGCACAGCTCATGGAAGAATGGGGCCTGGACGACGTAGATTACGTGTTCTCGGAAGATGACTACCACACTCTGACCAATTACAAGGCTTTCAGCCAGTTTCTCAGGTAGGAGCGGCCGTGGGCTGGTGTGCGTTGGCCGTGCGCTCGTTGCTCTGGCCGGGGACGAGGCTCGGAGGGGGCTCTGCGGGTCCCCCCAAAGCCTGTGTCAGTGTCATGCAGGGCCCTGCGCGGCGCCTGGAGCTGCTGTCCTGCCTGTGTCCTCCGTGTGTCCCGTGCYGCCTGTCCCTGCGTGCGTGGAGCAGTGCTCGGGAGGCAGCTCTCACTGGAGAGCAGCAGCAGTGTTTCTCTCTCCCACACAACTGTTTCTGCGCGTGTTTTTTGTTCGCACTTTGAGCCATTCAGAACACACCGGGGCTCCAGGGGCAGATCAGTCTCAAGAAGGTTTAAGTGTTTCTCCTCCTGTGCTTTTTTCAAAGAAAGTGGTGTTTTCTGCAGATTTTTCGGCACAGCTGGTGCCTGCGGGCAATGCCAATGTGCTGCTAAGAGGCTGGGGTGGCTGGCACGCGAAGGGCCGCTGTGCCCGCYGCAGCGCGCGGAGCCTCTGCTCACTCGCTGCTCTCCTCTACCCTTCCTCCAGGCCTCTCATAGCCAAGAAGAACCCCAAGATCCCCATGTCCAAGATGATGACGGTGCTCGGCGCCAAGTGGCGGGAGTTCAGCGCCAACAACCCGTTCAAGGGCAGCTCGGCGGCGGCGGCGGCAGCGGCRGTTGCCGCYGCGGTGGAGACAGTGGCTGTTGCGGCCCCGCTCGTGGCCAGCCCTCCGCAGCCCGCCTTGCCCACCGTCATCAGGAAGGCTAAGACCAAGGAGGGCAAAGGTAGGTGCTGGATGGCCAAGCCGTTGTTATTAGGTGGTTTTATGCAGGGAAATGAGGATTTGCAGGAGAAACGAGACCAAGTTCTGCAGTGGATCCTATTTGTGTTGAAATGAGGCCCTTACTGTAAATGTCCTCTTGGTGTTTTGGCTCTGGTTAGCAGGACTGCGTGGCTGGCTACTGGCACTGGCTGCACCCAGCTGCACCCAGCTGCATCCTTGGGTCTGCACCCTCTTGGATTTGCACCCTGCTTCTTGGGCAGGTTGCAGGGCTGTCCTGGGACGCAGTGCTGGCCCTTTGGCCCGGGGGCCGTGTTCCGCTGTGGCCAAGAGTGGCCACCCCCGCSCCGCAGATCCCCGCAGCGGGTGCGAACGGGGCCGGCGTGGGGCACGCTGAGACGGCTGGGTGCCCAGCGGGGCTTCTCCTTGTTTTGTTCAGGCCCGGGTGTGCGGAAGAAGGTCAAGGGCTCCAAAGATGGGAAGAAAAAAGGAAAGGGGAAAAAGATGGCAGGCCTCAAGTTCCGCTTCGGAGGAGTCGCCAGCAAGAGGAAAAAGAGCTCGTCCGTAAGTGTGCGCGGGCACCGGCCGGGGGAAGGCCAGGCCCTTCCCAGGCCTCGTGTCCCAGCCCCGCGCGTGCGGCGGCCCCACGTGGGTGCCCCGTCCCATGCAGAGAGCTCTGGCCGCACCGCCTCGGGGCATGTTTCCTGCTCAAGTCTTTCAGTTGCTTCCACTTGCAGGGGTGGCTGCATGTTTTGCGCAGGGCTACCTTAGGGTTGGTGCTCTGGCTGTGCTGTGTGGCTGCGGAATCATCGAGCACGTGAATAGTGTTGCCGTGGGCTGCCTGCTTGCTGCCGTGGATCTGCAGCAGGATCCTGGGAACCCTGGCACGTGTTGGGAAGGAGCTTTCCCACATCCTGGGAGTGCCAGATACATSTAGAGCATCTTAGTGGAGAGCCAATCTTGTGCATAGCTGCTCCTTGAGGGAGGAACTCCTGTAGGTCTCAATAACCTTGATCTGAATCCCATTAATTCAGCCCTTGTGGAGTTCACCATCTCTAGGTCTAGCTCACTAACACAACCTATTTGTGAATTATTTTGTGTATCAGAGGTTAACCTGAAAAGAGCGGTTTAAGGCAGTCTCCCACYGCTGCGTTTTTCAATCTTGCCTGGCAGGAAGTTCATCACGTATCTCTGGATGGACTCTAGGCCGGGACATTTGCGTGTCTGGGAGTTATTAAGGGCTTGGAGCAGCTGCTGCAGTCGGAGGTTCCCAGCGCGCGCCGCTCGTGCACGCACAAAGCCCGCGCTCACGAGCGCCGGTGGGACAGAGCGGTGCCCACGTTCCACATCCCGTGTCCCGTGTCCCACGTGCCGAGCCCTGCCCTGCGTCGCTGCAGGGCCCTCCTGGGCGGCTGGACGCTGTGGCTGTTTGCGTGGCGGGGACGTGGCCRCGATGCTGCAGCCGAGCTCCTCGGGACGCGCTCTCGTGGCCCGAGCCTTTGGGCGCCGCTCACAGCGCTGCCAGCACCCTCGGTGCACCCCTAGTAGCTCACGTGGAGACCAGGCAGGTTTATCTTGAACGTGCCCTGGGAGCTCTGTCCYGGCTGCTGATCCCGTGTGGTTTTCCACAGGTCCCGGGGGATTCGCTCACTTGGGCTGCACTGCGTCTGGTCTGATTTGTTTTTTTTTCCCACCCTCTGCAGAGTGAAGAGGAGGAACGGGAAGAGTCTGACTTTGACAGTGCCAGCATCAACAGCTCCTCAGTGCGCTCCGAGTGCTCAGCGGGCCTGGGGAAGAGAGGGAAGAGGAGGAGAAAGAAAAAGAGGAGTAGGCCACTGCTTTATACTCTGTGCCCAGTCTGTTTGGACTTCCCCGCTCACGCGTGCGTGGTCGTGGTGTCCGCTCTTGCACGCGGTGCCTGGAGCCATGTCGGCGGGAGAAGGCAGGAGCCGGGGCTTGTCTGTGTGTGTGGCAGGAGCCAGGCTTCCCGGCAGCAGGAGCTGGTGCTTCCCGGTGGCAGGACACAGGGCTTTGTGGTGTGCGCTGCGCGGGAGCAGGCGGTGGGGCCCGCGGTGCGGCCGCTCGCGAGGAAGCGCACGTTCCGTGCGGAGCAGGGCAGGGTGCGAGCGAGCGGGAGGCAGCCGCCTTGTGCTTGTTGGAGAGAGCTGTGCGGAGGCAGGGGCAGGGGAAGGCCCGAGGGCGTGAGGACGGCAGGGGAGGCCGGCGAGGTCTGTGCCGGCGGCAGTGGCGCGCGCTCCGTCATGCTCTACGTCGGCAGGGCCGGGCAGCCGCCTCGTCTAGTGGCACGGGTGTTGCCACCTGCCCCTGGGCACGGTGGCCACGTGTGGTGCATGCGGCCTCGCGCTGCCCCCGCGGAGCTGCGGGCTGCTCGCTGCCCTCCTGGCTCATGGTTGCGTTCGGTGATGCTCTTGGTGCTGCCCTCGCCAATGKGTTTGTTGGAGAGCGGCGCCTGGGCCTGGGGCCTGCCGGGCGTGAGGCGGGTCCCGGCGGTGCTGGGGCGCGTGGTCTTGTCGGGGAGCTGAGCGGGGGCATYGCTCTGTCTTCTGGCTCGTTAGTGCCCGGCGGCAGCGGCTCCCACTGCCCGGGAGCTTGGCCGGGATCTCGGTAGCCCCTACTCCGGGGGCGCTGCGGAGCGGACGGGTCGGACCCTCCTTCTGGGGAGGACGCGGGACCGCCGTGTCCCGGAGGCACAGGAGGAGGCGGAGGTTGGTGCAGGGAGCTTCTCGTGGAACCCCTTGCCGGRGGTCCTGCCCCGGCTCCCTGGTGCRCCGGGCTGAGCGAGCCCTKCCGTGCGCCTGGCGAGCCCRGCGAGAGCAGTGGTGGCAGCAGGAGGCCCTTGGCAGCCCTGGTGGCATTGTTGTTGCATGGTGCGTTTGCAGTTGACGGCACTGGTTTCGGTGGAGGTTTCTCTGACTGGCCTCCCTTGCAACCTCTCCAGGTTCTGGCATTCTCCATTGAGAGCCTGAAGGAACCAAAGGATGATACAGTGTGGAAAGAGAAAGAGAGACAGAGGTGAGATGATGCTGTGAGCCAGGAACGGCGGTGCTGAGGGACAGAGAGGTAGGGGGCCGGAGCAGGCGGGGAGCGAGCCGCAACGTTTTCCTCGTTTCCCTAGCGGTAGCGCGCAGGAGCGATGGCCCCGTTGCCCCGCGGGCGAGCGGCAGCTCTGCCCTCCCGCTGACGGCTCGCCTGTCCCTTGCTTCTAGCCGAGGAGGGCGACGGCTACGAGACGGACCACCAGGACTACTGCGAGGTGTGCCAGCAGGGCGGCGAGATCATCCTGTGCGACACGTGCCCGCGCGCCTACCACCTCGTCTGCCTCGACCCTGAGCTCGAGAAGGCCCCCGAGGGCAAGTGGAGCTGCCCGCACTGCGTGAGTGCCCGCGCCGGGCGTGCGGCGAGGCGGGCGCGCTCGGCCGCGGCCCTCACGCGCAGCCCCGTGCTCCCCCAGGACAAGGAGGGCATCCAGTGGGAGCCGAAGGAGGAGGACGAGGAGGAGGAGGACGAGGAGGGCGCGGAGGAGGAGGAGGATGACCACATGGAGTTCTGCCGTGTCTGCAAGGACGGAGGGGAGCTGCTGTGCTGCGACACRTGCCCGTCCTCCTACCACCTGCACTGCCTGAACCCGCCGCTGCCGGAGATACCAAACGGTGAATGGCTCTGCCCGCGCTGTACAGTGAGTGTTACCAGCATTCGTACCCAGTCCCTGTCGCGGCTCGCGGGGCCGCCGTGGGCCTTGGCCACAGCGTGGCTGCTGCCTGGGCCCTGCTGTGGCCCGCGGTCACTGCGGCCCTCCTGGAAGGGCGCCGTGCCCTGCGGGACACCAGGACGTGCTCGGCGGCYGCGGGAGGGAGCGGGCGGCTGGGAGAAGCTGTCTGGGCTCATGCTGACCGTGGGCCCTGCCCTTTCTCCTCAGTGCCCTCCGCTGAAGGGCAAGGTGCAGCGCATCCTGCACTGGGCCTGGAGAGAGCCGCCCGCGCCACTGCCCGCGCCGCCGCTGCCCGGCGCCGAGCCGCCCGCGCCACTGCCCCGGCCGCTGGAGGGCATCCCTGAGCGCGAGTTCTTCGTCAAGTGGGTCGGCCTCTCCTACTGGCACTGCTCCTGGGTCAAGGAGCTGCAGGTGAGCGCGGCCCCGCGGCCGGGCGAGCGCCGCCGCGCGCCGCCCCGGCCTCACCGCGCCCTGTCCCGCTGCAGCTCGAGCTCTACCACACCGTCATGTACCGCAACTACCAAAGGAAGAACGACATGGACGAGCCGCCCGCCTTCGACTACGGCTCTGGCGACGAGGACAGCCAGAGGGAGAAGCGCAAGAACAAGGACCCACAGTTCGCCAAGATGGAGGAGCGGTTCTACCGCTACGGCATCAAGCCCGAGTGGATGATGATCCACCGCATCCTGAACCACAGGTGAGCGGAGGTGCGGGCGGCGAGCGCTGTGCGCGGGAAGGGCACGTGCCAGCGCGCCGCCCCGGCCCTGCTGCCCCTCCGCCACATCACAGGCTGCCTAGGATGTTCTGCTCTATGCAGGATTCTTCATCCCAAGGGGTTTTCCTTAGCATTGCAGGCTTTGAAGGCCCGTGGCTTGCTTCGGAGCAAGAGGAAACCGGGGTGACCGTGCCGTGCCTGGCAGCATGTCAGGATGGAGGAGCCCCGGCTCGCACCGTGCTCGCTGCATTTTGCCCTCTCACAGATGGACTTTTGTGCTCGTGTTGCAGCTTTGACAAGAAGGGAGATGTTCATTATCTGATCAAGTGGAAGGACCTGCCCTATGACCAGTGCACCTGGGAGATTGACGACATTGACATCCCGTACTATGAAAACCTCAAGCAGCTCTACTGGAACCACAGGTAGGCGGCTGGGCCGCAGCCCACGTTGGTTCTGTGTTCCTGGGGACACCCCCTTTTAGGGGCAAAGCACAACATTCTGAGCAAGTTGCTAGCTTTGGGATGATAATGACGTTGGAAGGGGATCACTAACACCCCATTAGTCTCAGTAACTGGTAACTGGGCCAGAAAAGCTCCTAAGGGCTAGAAAGTGATGGATTTTGCCATCCTGGCACTTGCCACCCTGGCTTGGAGCCTGGGAGAGGCACCTCAACCTGCCTGCTCCTGCTGCAGGGAGCTGATGCTGGGGGAGGACATGCGCCCGCCAAAGAAGCTGAGCAAGAAGGGAAAGAAGCTGAAAGAGGAGAAGCTAGAGAAGCCCCCTGAAACTCCCCTTGTCGATGTAAGTGGGCTCGGCAGTGCCATGCAGCTGCGTCTGCGTCTCTGGGGACCATCCTGTGTCAGGGCCCGAGCGAGGGCTCGAGGCAGGGGAGCTGGTTTCCAGAGCCTTGCATCGTGTGTCTTTCTCTGCAGCCCACAGTGAAGTTTGACAAGCAGCCGTGGTACATCGATGCCACGGGGGGCACGCTGCACCCCTACCAGCTGGAAGGCCTGAACTGGCTGAGGTTTTCCTGGGCCCAAGGCACYGATACGATCCTGGCTGACGAGATGGGGCTGGGCAAGACTGTGCAGACTATTGTGTTCCTGTACTCGCTGTACAAGGAGGTGAGTGTCGGCGCCCCCGGGACGCCTACGAGCTGTCCAGCCCTCTGGAGCAACGCTAACTCACTTGCACTTTGTCTTCCCGAGCAGGGCCACTCGAAAGGGCCATACCTGGTCAGTGCCCCTCTCTCCACCATCATCAACTGGGAGCGCGAGTTTGAGATGTGGGCACCCGACTTCTAYGTTGTGACCTACACGGGGGACAAGGAAAGCCGGTCCGTCATCAGGGAAAACGAGTTCTCCTTTGAAGATAATGCCATCCGGAGTGGAAAGAAGGTCTTTCGGATGAAGGTAGGAGCTCGCTCTGTACCAGACCCATCTGCTCTTAACAGTAGATGAGAACAGGGGCAAAAGGCTGGAAGAGCCAGGTGACCTGGCTGAGCCAGGGCTCAGAGGAGTGGAGAGGAAGGGGGAGGCAGTACAGATGGAGGGAGAATGTGAAAATGTTTGCACAAAATCCATCAAAGCAGTTCAGGATTTATACAGGTGGACTTGGAACAGAACTTAACCCAGAGAAAGGACTTTGGGGGTTTCCTAATCAGCTGCTTTCCAAAGACAGAAGCTGCTGTGTTTATGCAGTATCAGAAAGGCTTGGGCATGACTGATTTCTAGAGCCCTCTCGCTGGCACTGCGCAGTGTGTGCAAGCAACCCCTGTCTTTCTCTGTGTTTAGGAGAGGTGTCACCTCTGGCAGCAGCAAACGTGGGGCTGTCCCACTGCGCGCTCACCATTATCCTGTGTTTTCTGCTTCTCTGTTCGTCCAGAAGGAAGCCCAGATCAAGTTCCATGTCCTGCTCACGTCCTATGAGCTGATCACTATTGACCAGGCGGTGCTGGGCTCGATCGAGTGGGCCTGTCTGGTGGTGGATGAAGCGCACAGGCTGAAGAACAACCAGTCCAAAGTAGGTTGCAGACACTTGTGAGCGGTTCCTCCTGCACACGTGTGCAAACAGCCAGTCTGCTGCCATTTTCTCTCTGGGAGTCGAAAGGCATCTGTCCTCCTCTTGCACAGGCTCTGCTTGGCACCCTCCATTCAGTAGGATTGGTGTCTTTTACATCCACTGGCTTTTAGAATCTTTCCTTTGGGAAGGAGCATCATAGAGTCATTATGGTTGGAAAAGACCTTTAAGAGCATGGAGTCCAGCTGTGAAGGCAGCGGCAGCCTGGCTAGTACAGGCAGCAGGTGGAAGTCCTGCTGGCTGCCCTGCAGCAGGGAGCTTCAGGAAACGGGGAGGAAAGTCCAGATGTGTCTTGCTCCACTCTGTGTGGAGAGGATGCAAGGCTGGCCCTTTTAGAAGAAGGGGAGAACCCAGTGCCGTTTTTTAAGTAGAATGCTTACTGGAGCTTGGCATTCCGCTCTTTCTCAAATCAGTTTGCTTTTTCAGACCTGGCGCCTAATGGCAATAAAAGGTAGTAGATCCAAGAGCAGCTCTGGTGCTAGGAGGGGCAGGTCCTGGTGGATGTGCTCCTTCAGTTCCTTCAGTGGTTGCTGCTGGGTAGCAGAGAAGGCCTTTGATGGGCTCTCGTGAAAGGAATCACTCCCTCTCCTTGGTGTGGAGATCGGTGAGAGCTTCACGCAGCAGAGACCTTCACTCTTGACAGACACCTTCACCCCTAACAGCGAAAGGGCTGGGGTTTGACCTGAGGCCATTCAGCATCGCAGCCCGTGCTTAATGGGAATGGCTGCGGTTGGGACACGCAGCCAGGGATGTGCTCTGGCTCTGCGTGCCCGGTGGGGAGGAGGCAGCGCTGCTGTGTCTCTGCTCGAAGTCTGCAGCACCAAGAGTCCCCAGAGGACCAGTTAGATTCTCTGAGCTCTTTCCATCTAACTTGATTTCTTTTCCAAGTTCTTTAGGGTATTAAATAGCTACAAAATCGATTACAAGCTGCTGCTCACCGGGACTCCCCTGCAGAACAACTTGGAAGAGCTCTTCCACCTGCTCAATTTCCTGACTCCAGAGAGGTTTAAGTAAGTTGCACCAGTTCTCTCCTTGAGCAGGGAGAGTGGCAAGGGCATGCTGTCTTTTTGGCCAGCAGAGCTGCTAAGTAGAGATTTTCCAGTTCAGCAGGGCTCCATCTGCTTGGTAATGCCCGGATCCAMTTATCGCTGTGCAAATGTCACTGCTCTGCGCTGGCAGGTAGAGGGCAGAGCACGCAGTCCCAGTGGTTTGCCATAGCAGCCACATGGGCATTTTATGTAAATCTGAATTTTATTTGTGCCAGGTACTTCTTTTTGGGCTSTGTGAGCGAATGTTGCCTTCGCCAGAGGCTTGGGAGTGAGGGACTGAAGCCTGCTGTGCCCTTTCCAYCTCTCTTAGGGAGCAGTGATGCTTTGGGAAGGTTGTTTGTGCTTCCTGTTGGTGCATTTATTGTGAACCCTCCCTTAGCAATGAGCACAGCTTCTCRGGCTGACTTCAGCTCACTGGGACAGGAGCAGGGGACTGTGAGCTCATCGTACACCAGAAGAGCTCTTCTCTTAGCTTTAGGTCATAAAGGAGCAAATGTTTTTGCCCTTGCGTGTCCCGTTGTACCTCAGCAGCGTGTGGTTCTGTCTGCTTTCACAGTAACCTGGAGGGCTTCCTGGAGGAGTTTGCMGACATCTCCAAGGAGGACCAGATCAAGAAGCTGCACGATCTGCTGGGTCCGCACATGCTGCGGCGGCTCAAGGCAGACGTGTTCAAGAACATGCCCGCCAAGACCGAGCTCATCGTGCGCGTGGAGCTTAGCCAGATGCAGAAGTAAGGAGCTGCGTGGCAGGGGGCTGCGCTGGGTGTGTGGAGGCCCACGGCCTCCCTTGCGCTGCCGCATCCGTGCGTGGCGCAGGGCGGCGGGTGTCCCGAGGGGCCAGGGAATCCCTCCGCGCTCGGATCCGCCGCAGGCAGCGCTCAGCTGCCGTGTGTGTCCCCAGGGAGCCCGCCCCGGTGCCCGCAGCCACGTTGGACCGGCTGCGCCCTGGCAGCCTGGCCGCGTGGCCCTTGYAGCCCTGCGGCGCGCAGGGGTAGCGGGGCCAAGCTGCCTCCCGCACACGCTAAACCCGCGTGGCTTGGGCAGCAGGCGCCAGCTCTGCCCCGTGGAAGGCGCCCGCGCTGCGCCCCGCGATCCAGGGCTGAGCAGCTTCCTTCCTGAGCTCTCACCCTGGTGAAACGTAATGCCGTGCCGTGCTGCTTGTGCTGGACTCGGATCTGACCCTGCTAATGGTGTTCACTTCCCCCCTCATGCAGGAAGTACTACAAGTTTATCCTGACAAGGAATTTTGAAGCCTTGAATTCCAAAGGTGGTGGGAACCAAGTCTCCTTGCTCAACATCATGATGGACCTGAAGAAATGCTGTAATCATCCGTACCTCTTCCCCGTGGCAGCTGTGGTAAGGGACCTTTGTGTGCATTCTGGTGACGTTTCTCAGCACGTGTTCATACAGCCCGTCATCAGGGACGGGGTCTGCCATCTCCCTCTCTTTTTTGGTGTGGGTGGTTTGATGGGGATATTTTGTCTTGGTAACACGTGTGAATTTCTCATTTCTCCATGAAATGAATGTGTTTTTCCCCCCACAAGAGGCCTGCACAGTCCAGGGCTAGTGTGTTCCCGAACGTGCAGTCTGTTGCTGCACACCACAGGAGGGCTCCCACGGCGCTCTGGCACACTTTTCCATATGGTCTCTTCCCACAATAGAGTATCTTATTCAGGAGAATTTCTTAGGGACAAATTMAGGCCTCGTTCAGCTGCTGATGGAATTGTTTCCTAGTTCAGAGGGTGTGGGACTCTCCCTATAACTCGAGCAGTGGGGGACATCTGCRCTAACTGAGAATTGCTCCACAGGAAGCTCCGGTTCTGCCCAATGGATCCTATGATGGGAATTCTTTGGTTAAGTCTTCTGGAAAGCTGATGCTTCTCCAAAAGATGCTGAAGAAGTTACGGGATGGCGGGCACAGGGTTCTCATCTTCTCCCAGGTGAGTAATGAGGAAATGAACAACCCCAATAAATYGTTAGGGATGCTTTTCCTCTAGAAGTGCATTGTGTATTGGGTACGAGTAGGGATGGGTGGAGGAGCTGGCCAGGGCCTGGCTAGCGGGTAGCTCTGCAGACGTGGTGGTCATGATGGGTGGCCTCTGTTCCCGCTCTCTCCCGAGAGGTTCCTCTGATACTTAGGATTTAGCTGTTGATAAGGCGGAGGCGCGAGCAGCCGCGCTCCTCGCTGAGCGAGGCTCCTGCCTCTAATTCCCCGTGTTTGCGCGGTGGCCTCCGGTGCCCGCGGGAGTGCGTTCCCGCGGCGCTCCCTGTCTGCAGCACATCCGCCCCGTTGTGCCCGAGCGGTGACAGGGATGTCCCCGCGCGGCTGCTCACACCGCGCTTGTCCTGTGCAGATGACGAAGATGCTGGACCTGCTGGAGGATTTCCTGGAGTATGAGGGCTACAAGTAYGAGCGCATAGACGGGGGCATCACGGGAGGCCTGCGCCAGGAAGCCATAGACAGGTTTAACGGTACTCACGGCTCCTCCCCGTTGGGGTGCGGGCAGTGCGCGGCGCCGGTGGGATGCGGGAGGCTCCGCTCGGCGCGAGGAGCCGAGGGCGACGCGGCCTCTCTGCAGCCGCGGGTCATGCAGCATGGCACCAAGGCATCCCGCCGCGGGAAGAAGCCTCCTGGCTGTGCCACAATAAATGGGCAGTGGGGTAAAGGCAGGCTGCTTAACCCAAGAGCCTCCTGCCTGTCCCTGGAATGCCCCGTCAGGTCTGGAGCTGCACTTCCCTGGATTCCGATTCCGGGGAGTGCTGTACACCTGCTCCTTGCCTCCCCCCGCGCCTTGCTCTCTTGTTTAGACTGATGCTTTCCCCTTGTCTTGTGGCCCAAGCACAATCCTGCCCCTCTCCTGGGAGCCGGCGCCGCCTCTCTCACCTCTTCCCACCTGTGGGTTTGTCTTTCCCAGCTCCTGGTGCTCAGCAGTTCTGCTTTCTGCTCTCTACCCGTGCTGGTGGTCTGGGCATAAACCTTGCTACAGCCGACACGGTCATTATTTACGATTCTGACTGGAATCCCCACAATGACATCCAGGTTTATAACTCTTTCTTTTGCTTGTAGTATAGTAAGTACCTTTCTGGCTGGGCCCTCTGTTTGCACATCCTATACACCAGCTTGATCCCAAGTACAGGCACAAAACAGTTCCTTTCTCGTGGGGAGCTGACACTTTCTGCAAACTTCCAAYTTCACTTCCAAAAGCCTGTGCTAGATCCCTACCTAGTGGTGACCACCAGGGAGAAAGAGCAGCTGGGGGTGAAGAGCATCAAATGCTCCTAAAAGTGATGGGAAAGTGAAAATACCTCTCTCTTCCCTGTTTCCTTGCTGGGAGAAGGGAACACCTAGGGAAAGATCTGCTTTTCTCAGGTGTTTCTGGCCTGTTTTTGCCGGTGTTTTTCTCTCCTGGGGTGAGGCAAGAGGAGCAGGATGGGGGCCGGGCGAAGGGCCATGCGAGGGGAGCGGGTCCCCGCTTGTGTCCTGCTTGGCTGCGTGGCCCTCGCTGCCGGCGAGGCCGCTGCCAGCGCCGTGCTGTGCCCGCAGGCCTTCAGCCGGGCCCACCGCATCGGGCAGAACAAGAAGGTGATGATCTACCGCTTCGTGACCCGCGCCTCCGTCGAGGAGCGCATCACGCAGGTGGCCAAGAGGAAGATGATGCTCACCCATTTGGTGGTGCGGCCGGGCCTCGGCTCAAAGTCGGGCTCCATGACCAAGCAGGAGCTGGACGACATCCTCAAGTTTGGCACGGARGAGCTCTTTAAGGATGACGTGGAAGGTGAGAYGGGGCCGGGCCGGGGCTGCGCTGAGCGCGGCCGCTGCCTCTCTGCGCTGCGGGGCTCCCTCTCGCGCTCTTCCCGCTGCAGGCGCCATGTCCCAGGGCCAGCGCCTCGGCGTGCCGGACGCCGTCACCCCTTTCCCCGACACCCTGTCCGCCAAGGGCGGCGCAGCGACCCCCGGCATGAAGAAGAAGCACGGGGGCACCCCCCCAGGTTGGTGGCTCCCCCCTGCCTGGCCCGCACCTCCCGAGCCCGCCGCTCTGGGCACGGGCTGCGTGGCTCGTGCTCTCCACGGCACGGGGATTTGCCTCTCCGGTGCCTGGCCTTTGCCCTCCAGGAGACAACAAGGATGTGGATGACAGCAGTGTGATTCACTACGATGATGCTGCCATCTCCAAGCTTCTGGACCGGAATCAGGATGCGACTGATGACACRGAGCTGCAGAACATGAACGAGTATCTGAGCTCCTTTAAAGTGGCCCAGTATGTTGTGAGAGAAGAGGATGGTGTGGTAATGTGACAGTATCATGTCTTCTAATTGCATCTCCTCCTATGTCCCTCTGTTTGTGTTTCTTCCGCCTGGCTTCTTATTTTTGCAAGTGTTTCTGTGCCGATAGCAGCAGTGGCAGCGCAACTGGCGGCATCGCGCTGGGTTGCTCGCAACCCTGGGGGCCCCAGTGTCCGTAGGAGCTATTTCGGGGTACAGATGTCTGCCTGGGAGGTTGCACTGAGCTCAGTTTGGTTGGGCACAACCCCGGGGCTCAGGTTGTTGAGCGTTTGTCCGAGCAGTGCGGGGTGAAGGCAGCAAAGTGTCGGCCAGTCGAAGCGCATCTGCCTGAAGGGCTTGCTTGCCGGCCACAATGCAGCACCCTCCGTCCCGCTGTTCCTGCAGTGTGTGGGAGGACAGGCCCCCGGCTGATGTGGCTGCCTCGTCTCATGTCCCTCATCTYTTGTCTTGCAGGAGGAGGTAGAACGTGAGATCATCAAGCAGGAGGAGAACGTAGACCCTGACTACTGGGAAAAGCTGCTCCGGCACCACTATGAGCAGCAGCAGGAAGATCTGGCCAGGAACCTGGGGAAAGGCAAGAGAATTCGCAAGCAGGTCAACTACAACGATGCCTCGCAAGAGGACCAAGGTACTGGATTTCTCTGCGTAGAAGATGCGTTTTAGAGCTCTTTGGCGCGTAATTTCCTGGCTGCTGCTCCCTCCTCCRTTGCTGCCTTGCCCTCGGTGCAGCTCTGTGTGCTGTGCCAGTTTGCCCCAGGGCAGCCTCCTGCCTGCCCTGCACGGCCCTCCTGGGCACAGATTGCTGCTGACCTCGCCTTGCTGCTCTCTGCAGAGTGGCAGGACGAGCTCTCTGACAACCAGTCTGAGTACTCCATCGGCTCTGAGGATGAGGATGAGGACTTTGAAGAGAGACCAGAAGGTCAGAGTGAGTTAACACATTGAATGCTTTCCAGTCTTGCCCTCTTGTAGGTAGGAGAGGCAGGAGTAGCAGATGTGGCAGCCCCTTGCCTGGTAAGCACAGAAGGGTGCCCCAGCTTTGGGAAGGCCACTGTGATGGGTGCAGAGCACCCTGCACACCAAGGCAGCACCCACACCAGTTGCTTATGGCCCGTGTACCATGGGGAGGGAGCGCGGGAGCTTTGCTGTGCTCCATGGTGCTCGGGAACTGGGGCAGTGGTGGCCAGTGTCCTCCAGTTAGTGCCTGGGCAGCCCAGGGCCTCCTGCCACTTGGGGCTCTTGACTGCAGGTGGCAGAAGGCAGTCCCGGCGACAGCTGAAGAGCGACCGCGACAAACCTCTCCCTCCCTTGCTGGCGAGAGTCGGGGGCAATATCGAGGTGAGGGGGCTCCCGTTGGCCGGGGCCACGCTGCCGCGTGCCCGGTGCAGCGCCGCGAGGCCCCGCGCGTTTCCGAGGCTGTGTCGCGGCGGCAGCGCGCTCTGCTCYCCCAGGTTCTTGGCTTCAACGCGCGTCAGCGCAAGGCGTTCCTCAATGCCATCATGCGGTGGGGCATGCCCCCCCAGGACGCCTTCAATTCGCACTGGCTGGTCCGYGACCTGCGAGGGAAGAGCGAGAAGGAGTTCAGGTAGGATGTCCACACCAGCCAGCGGGACCCGTCGTGTGCGAGTGGAATAGAAAGGGGGCAGACGTGGGCTTTGCTGTGGATGAGCAGTGTTGGGACTGGAGCCCCACCAGGCACACGAGCCAGCAGCCCTGGGGTCCCTTGGTCCCCAAGGACGGCTCCATGGATGCCGCACTGAACTCCTTCCTTCCCTCTTTCCGCAGGGCTTACGTCTCCCTGTTCATGAGGCACTTGTGTGAGCCGGGAGCAGACGGTGCGGAAACCTTTGCAGATGGCGTTCCCCGGGAAGGGTTGTCGCGCCAGCACGTGCTGACTCGGATAGGAGTTATGTCACTAGTAAGGAAGAAGGTGGGTGAGTAAAATCTTAAGTGTGCCCTTTCAGGTGTGTTCTGGACACCTGTGAGTGTCATTAACAGCTCAGTRCCTTCCTGCCAGGGATCCTTTCCTGACTCCAAGACTTGGTGTACATTCATTTTTGTCATAAACGTACAGGTGGAAATAATGCAAACTGCCTTTCGAATCCTGCCGCTTCTTTACCCAGGAGGTGCAGAGAAAGAGCAGATGTTCAGCAGCCTGAATGGCAAAAGAGGAGAAGGGCTTTTGGAGGCGAATTGAGCCCTGCAGAGCTGAGAATCTCAGCAGTGTCAGATGTCCCTGACAGGGCGGGTGGGTGCACAGACTCTGCCGCTTAGCGAAGCTGCTTTTAAAGCAGCCTGAAGAGGCAGGAGCTGCAGTGTTGGACTAGAAATGTCAGGAAAATAGGCTTTTCAAGGATTTCGTTTGCTGTGGGCTGAGTGGCAGCTCCACAGACCTGCATGCGGTATTCTAGTCATTTAGATCGCTTGGAGGCAGAGGTGCACACTCGGTGAAAAATCATATGCTTTGAACTTGCAAAAATTCTTAGATATCTAGTTTTTTTCATTTCAGATGGAACTATGATGGTCATGCAGTCAGACCTCCCGTATTGTGCAGGAGGTCTGACTTTCACTTGCTGACTTCACTTGCTAAATCTTGCCTTGTGCCCAGCATCTTGTCCTCAAACCAGAGCGTGTCTTTTAGAGAGGCAGCCGCTCTCAGCCTGGCGCTGAGCTCAGCTCGACAGCGTGCAGCTAATCCGAGGCACGTGCTGAGCGCCGCTGCCGCCCGCGCGTGCTCGGCGGGACGCGCAGCCAGGGACCTCGCCGGCTCGTGCGCGCTGCGYGTGACCGAGTACTCGCCAAGTCCAATATGGGGTCCCCCCCATCACTGTAAAGTGCTAACGAGCAAGACTTGTCCTGGAAAGACTGTTAGGTGATGGTGGAGTTGATTCTGGTGTGCAGCAGTGGGAGRGGAGGTGCTGAAGGTGACAGCTCTGGGTTAGTGCTGTGTCTTGAGCAAGGGCTATGGCTGTGCTGTGCAGGGGGAGGTGAACTGCAGCCTCGGAAATGGGACGGGCAGGCAAGGAYGTGTCCTGTGGCAAAGGAAGGGAGCGGGAAGGCCACAGGGCTGGGGCCAGCAGAGGGGACGCCCAGTGTGAACGCCTTGAGGGCCAGTGCTGCTGACTGACCACGGGAGAGCTGGCTGCAGCTGGTGTGCATGTGCACCGAGGCTTTGTGTGCATCCTGGCATGGGCATGGACATGGGCACGGGCATGCGGCTGCTGTCCCAGCCCTGCCACAGAGCCGCACACGTCCTCCAACCCGCTGTTTCCTCCTGTGTCTGCGGTGCGGGCGCAGGAGCAGCAGCTGCTGGAGCCCACGTTGCTCCCTGCAAAAGCCTCCGTTGTCGGGTAGAGAGAGACCCTCTTGTCGTGTACTCGGCTTGGAGGCTCAGCCTGACCCAGGAGCCTGTGCTCGTGTGGACGCTGGGTGGCCAGCACAGACATCCTGTCACCTAGCGATGTACGTGACTTGTCCTGTGCACCTGCCCCAGGTCCAGGAGTTTGAACACGTCAACGGGAAGTACAGCACCCCGGACCTCGTTGTCGAAGGCGCAGAGGGCAGGAAGGGCAGCGAGGTGGTTTCCTCGGACCCCAACACTCCCGTGCCAGCCAGCCCAGCGCACGCGCATGCAGGGCCTGTGGCCCCTGCAGGTAAACGGGCCACTGCCTTCGGCCTCGGCTTAGTGAGGAAAGGGAGGCGAGTTCTGGGGGTACCTGCCTGGGCTGGCGCGGCGCGGACGGCCCTCGGGTGCCTCCCTGCAGCTGCCCCGCTTTGCTGTGCTTGCAGAGAAAGCCGAAATTCAACTGGGCTTCCAGGACGAAAAGGATCAAGTGGAGCAGAAGTCCAAGAAGGTGCCCGAGAGCCAGGTAGGGGGACTTATTTCAGCATCTCCCCGGTGAAGCCGCCTCGCTCTGCGTGCTCCCTGGCAGAGGGATGGAAAGGGACGGAGCAGGGCAAAGCGACACCTCTGCTCTGTTGTTTCCTGGGCTATGGCCTCTCCCCTTAAAGACCTCGGACAGCTCCACTCCTTGGGATKCCCGCAACGTTTGGTGGGAAGCACGTCGGGTCCTGTTGAGTACTGGACTAATCTAATGCAGTCATTGCAAATTAAGGTGCCCGCAAGTGCCGAGAAGGTGGAAAGGGAAGAACACCTAGAAGGCTTTGACAGCAAGGAGAAGACAGAAGAGAAGCAAGAGGAGAGCGGGGGGGCTGAGCCTTCTGCGGAGCCTCCGGGGAGAGGTGAGCGCGCGTGCYGCGGGAGCGGGTCCCCAGGCGCAGCCGGTGCCTCTGCTGCCCTTGCTTTGTGCTGCGCGAGTTCATCTCCTAGTCCTGCTCTATTCTGCAGATGAGGCGATTAGAGAAAAAGAGAAGCCCCTGGAGAAGTCGGAGTTGAGCAGCAGCCCAGGTAAAGGGGAGGACAGAGATGTCAAAGCAGGTGAGGCCAAGGAGACCGGCGTGGGGAGGGCTCTGAGGGTCCCCGAGGGCAGCGCTGTCCCCTGGGCTCGGCGGGAGGGGGCCCCTCTGCCCACGGCTGCTGGAGGGCAACTGCCAGCGCCTGCGGTGCCTCACCGGGGTGCCGAGAAGCTGCGAGCAGCCCCCCGAGCGCAGGCACTGGCCCTGCCTGTGCACAGGCAGCAGGGTTGGCTGGCGGGGCGCGGGGCCGTCTCCTGGAGAGCCAGCAGCGGCCTGGGGGCGAGGGCGTCAGCGGTGAGTTCCTCCTGCAGCTAGCAGGGCAACCGTGACTTCGTGACTTCGTTCGGTCTGCGGGGCGAGGGAGGGCTAGGCAGGGGTAATCTCTTGTGTTTGCCGAGCAGAGGATGCCAAGGTGGAAGAGAAGGAGCAGAATGAGACTCAACAAAATGGTGAAAAAGAGGAAGAAGAGGAAGGAAAGAAGGAAGAGAGGAATGCAAACTTCAGATTCATGTTCAACATTGCAGACGGTGGCTTTACAGGTGACAGGAAGGGACAGGGCTTGGTTACCTCCACAGGCTTGCGCTGCAAGCAGGAGCCTGCGCACTGCTTTAAGGAGGTTGCCAACCTGGTAGTGCTTTAGTGCCATCCCTTTGCAGCCTCACTGCAAAACGTCTCATTTCTGCGCTGCCCGGGAAGCCTCGTGGCTCTTCCCGCCTGACGGGCATGTGCGCTGTCCCCGGCGGCGCTGCTGCTGACCGGCCTCTCTCCTGCTCCCGCAGAGTTGCACACGCTCTGGCAGAACGAGGAAAGAGCTGCCATCTCCTCTGGCAAGATCTACGATATCTGGCACCGGAGACACGACTACTGGCTGCTGGCGGGAATTGTCACGTATCCTTGAAAGCTGAGGGAGGTTCTCTGCAGGCAGGAGGCCGATGGGGGCCRTGATAGGGGCCCACGGTCCTGCTGAGGTACAGAGTGCTGAAGCAGCGAGGGTGCCCAGAGGTGCCGCACCATGCAAGGGGGGACAGGCGCGCCTGTGCTGGCCCCTTCCTCCCTTAACAYGTGTGCCCAGGCACGGCTATGCCCGCTGGCAGGACATCCAGAACGACCCGCACTATGTCATCCTGAACGAGCCCTTCAAGTCCGAGATACACAAGGGGAACTACCTGGAGATGAAGAACAAGTTCCTTGCACGGCGCTTCAAGGTGAGCTGCAGGCCCGGGCACCCTCCCTGGGCCGCTGCAGCCGGCACCTTCGGAGCGGGATGGGCCGCTCTGTGCCGCGGGCGCCGCTCCTGACTGCGTGCCCGTCTGCCCCACGCAGCTGCTGGAGCAGGCGCTGGTGATAGAGGAGCAGCTGCGGCGGGCTGCGTACCTCAACATGACTCAAGACCCCARCCACCCRGCCATGGCCCTGAACGCGCGTCTGGCTGAGGTGGAGTGCCTTGCCGAGAGCCACCAGCACCTCTCCAAAGAGTCCCTGGCCGGCAACAAGCCCGCCAACGCCGTGCTGCACAAAGGTGGGTGCGCGAGGGCCGGTGGCAGCGCGGGGAGAGGCTGGAAACTGGAGACRGTTSCGGAGCTGCTGCGGGGCCGGGACTGGGCCGGCCGCTCAGCGCCCTCCCTGCCTCGCAGTGCTGAACCAGCTCGAGGAGCTGCTGAGCGACATGAAGGCCGACGTGACGCGCCTGCCCTCCATGCTGTCGCGCATCCCGCCCGTGGCCGCCCGCCTGCAGATGTCCGAGCGCAGCATCCTGAGCCGCCTGGCCACGCGGGGAGGAGAGCCCGCCGTGCAGCAGGTGAGCGGGGCGAGGGGCCGGCGTGCAGGCACCGGTGCCCTCGTCACCCCGTTCTCTCCTGCTCCGCCTTGCGCCCTCTGCGCCGGCGGACTGAGCACTGGGGACTCGGCCATGCRGGCAGGTTTGGGCGCCCAGCAGCTTCTCTCCCTCCGTCTCCAGGGCTCCTTTGGCTCCTCCCAGATCTACAGCAACAACTTTGGGCCAAATTTCCGAGGTCCGGGGCCTGGTGGGATTGTCAACTACAGTCAGATGCCTCTGGGACCCTACGTGACCGGTAGGTTGAGGTTTGGAGCAGAATCTCTCTGGCAGAGAAGTTCAGGTGGCGAATTTCAGCAGGCCACCAGCACAGCAGAAGGACAGCGGGCAAGCATGATGGTTTCTCTCTTATCTGTAGATATTTAGCCGTGTCCAAGATTTCCTTCTGCAGTTCTCATYTCCACCTGAGGTAAGGCTGTGCTTAGCACTCCGTTACACACTGCGTGGCTTCATTTGCCAGGGACCTGTAGCAAAGGGATAACAGTTCAGCCCCGTGACGAGGGGTCAGGAACAGACGTGTTGGGCTGTGCATGAGTCGTTTTTGGTGCCTCCTTGGCCGGCGAGRTGGTCGCTGTCCCGTGGGGAGTGGAAAAGGGCCCTCGCGCCGCCCTTTGGGAGCAGCCCGCGGCCCCGCCGGAGCTCGGGTGCCGCTGTGGCCGAGTCCCCTGCCCTCGCACTCGCTCGAGTGTTCTCTGCTGTCASGTCCGCTCCATCCTGGCGGGTGGTGCTGGCATGAAGCGCAGTCAGYGCTTGGCTCTCCAGTGTTCCCGGTTCCTTTGGCGGTTCTGTTTGCCAGTTTTCGCATTTTGTTTTCTATGCCTGGAGTAGTTTTTGTGCCGCATCCTCTAAGCAAAGCTCCCCTCCCCCCCCGAGGAGGGGCCGGCACCGGCGTGTCCTGTTGCACTGAGGACAGGCTTGTGCAGATAGGTGAAAGCTGCCTCGGTGCCGCAGCTTGGGGTGGTTCTCGTCCAGTTTTGGAAAGAGCAACACGTGGCGGGCGGAGAGCACGGCGGGGGGGGCCCGCAGCCACGCTCCCGCCGCTCTCCTCGCAGCCTCCGATGCTCCAGCGGAGCCTGGCCACGGATACGCGCGGAAGACGAGCTCTGCTCCCGCCATGCCGGCCTCCTGCGTGCCCGCCGCGCCTGCCCACGACAAGACCGGCTCCAGGGCATCTCATTCCCTTGTACATTTTTTGCACTTTCTTATTGAAGACTTGAAGAGTTTGTCTGGAAGATGTGGGATCAAGTAAGAAGGGATATGGAGAATCAGTATTTATGTCTGTTTTTATGGAGACGTGTCGGGTTTAAAGGGAGACCTGGTGGAAGCGCTGTTCTCGTGCAGTTACTCGCCGCTGACCGTGAGGAGCTCGCCTCCGTTCTGTGTAATCCTCCTTTTTGTCCGTTTTGTGCTGGAGCGAATGCATGTGCCCCGCGAGCCCCGCGGCCGCCCGGCCGGGCGCCCCCCACGCTCTGGCCCGACGTGGACCCCGTTCCCGGGGCGCTGCGGCCCCCTGCGCCCCTCTGCTTCCCCAGTGCTCGTCTCGTGTCCCCATGGGAAGGGCGCAACGGGGCCGGCCTCGGGAGCGGCTCCCACACCGGGGCCTGCAGGGCTTTCCACAGGGAGCAGGATTCGCTCCCGGCACGGCCGGGAACACCTGGGCCATGCGAGTGGCGCCAGCAGCTCCCTGGAGCTCCCRGCTGGCCGCCGCTCCGGAGGCTTCGGGAGAGCCCCGGGGCAGCGCTCGGGCACGAGCGGCCCTGGAGCGTGTGGGGATGGTGGTGGCGGGTCTGGCCCCTGCCCCAGCGCWGGGACTTCAGCACCACGGCTTGTGGCCCTGTAGCCAACGCAATCACATTTACTTTGTACTCTGTGTGTTTCTGTTTCTGTTTTCTGTGTTTTAATAAATCCTCCAAAAAGGATCCTGTGAAACGCTCTCATTTCTGTTGCTCCGCGTCAGAAGTGTCAGTTCYTTGCTCTGGCAGGCCAAAATGATTTCCCAACACGGTTCCTTTTTTTTTTTTTCCACTGTTTATTAGTATTAATCTGCCTGTTTGATGGAAGATTCGTACTAGGAATGGTTCTGTTAACCGTAAGCACTGGAATAATCGGCACCCTGGATCACATGGTAGACTACAGAGAGGAGAGTGCTGCTCCTAGGGGCGCTTGCATCCACCCAGGGCAGCGGCTACGAGGAGACGCTCGCTTAGTGCGCTAACCCTACGTGCATCGTCTGTGCATCAGGGAAGGTAGGGGCTGGGCCGGGCCTGGGGCCCCCGCTGGCTGGTGAAGCAGCGAGCGCCAGGGCCTGGTGCCGCGCRCAGGCTGCGGAGCAGAGCCCACCGCGTCCGCCGCCAACTGCCCCGAGGAACGTCTGGAACGAGAGCCTCAGGTGAACGTAGCGGGGAGGAAGGAGGCCGCCGGGCGCCGCGGGAAGCCCCGCTCTGCTCCGCTGCCGCTCCCTGCCCAAAGCGGCGCGCTCGGGCGCTGGCCGAGGCGGCCGCAGCGGGAGCCGGGCGCCATGGGCCGCGTGGCCCGTCCTCGCGGGCCCGCCTGGGCGTCGCTGCCCGCGTCCTCCCGCTCGCTCCCGTGCAGCCCGTGAGCCTCGGGGGCGCCCGTCGTGCCAGCCCGGTGCTGCGCGTGCCACGGCCGGGCCCTCGAGCGCCCCGCGTGCGAGCCCCAGCGGAGGGGGACAGCGGTGTCCTGGGAGCTGGTGCAAAGGGGAGTTTCTTCTTTAAAAAGGAAGCTCAGAGGCTGGACAGCAGGGGTGGAGGCGATTCCACGCGCTTCCCAACCACTGACTTTTCTTGCATTCAAAACAAAATGTTACATAATAAGCATATGTTGTCTTGCAGCAACGTTTTAAACAATTTCTCTATAACATCTTGACGTGTCGTGTTCTCGATGCAAATTCACATTCTCCACTTTGCTTCGACAAAGCTTAAGCAAGCGAACAGGAGACGAGGACTTGACGGTGAGCCCAGGCGGACGGGATGCGTGCTTAGGAGCGGTAGTCCTTCTTGCTGTATGGTTTATTGCCCAAGATACTATCGATTTCATGGATAATGGAAGATGACAGTTTTGGAAGAACCTGTGTGCAACCGAAGCAGCACCATTAGGACTGCAGCAAACGCCACCTTTTGGGGCGAAGCGTGGGAAGGAGGGCTCGATCTGGGGGCTCGGCCGCCCCTCGCCACCTGCCTGGCGCTGCCCGGCTGCCCCCGAGCCCCTGGCCGCGTTTCCGCAGCAGAGCCCTTTGCCGACACCCACCTGTATTGCTCCGATGTTCTCCATGAGCTGGTCCGCGTTGGAGGCGCCCAGCAGCACGGAGCTGACRCCCTCGTTCCTCAGGCACCAGGCTGCAAGGGAGGGCGGGCTGAGCRTGTGGCTGCGCTCCAGGGCACGCCGTGCCGTGCCGCGCCGTGCCGTGCCATGCGCTTACCAATGGCGAGCTGCGGCAGCGTGCAGCCCAGGCGCTCCGCGATGGCCTGCAGCTCCTTCAGCTTGGCCTGCTGCCGCCGGCCCTCCTCGCTCAGGATCTTGTCCTTCAGCCACTGGTAGCCCTGCGGGGCGCGGGGGTCAGCGGCAGCGCCGCAGGGCTGCGCGGCGGCCCCGGCCCGCTCTCACCTTCAGCGAGGCGCGGGAGTAGGGCGGGATGCCGCCGTCGTACTTCCCTGAGATGATGCCGCAGGCCAGCGGGGACCAGGTCATGGCGCCGACGCCTGCAAGGGAGCAGAGCCGCGGGCAGGACCGGGCCGGGTCGGGACGGGCGCCGCGCCGCCGGCTCCCCACGTGCCCGCGCCTCTACCTATCTTGTGGAAGAGCTCGGGCAGCTGCACCTCCACCTTCTCGCGCTGGAACATGTGGTACTCGGCCTGCTCGCAGATGGGCGGGATGAGGTTGAACTGCCGCGCCACCGAGTACGCCTCCTGCGGGAAGCGGAGCCGCTGGTGGGCACCGTGCTGCGCCGTGCCCCCTGCCCCCGTGCCGGCCCGGCCCTGCCCTACCATGATCTCCATGGAGCTCCAGCGCGACGTGCCCCAGTACATGGCCATCCCCTGGTTGATGACGTGGGTCATGGCTCGCACTGTCTCTGCAGGGCAAGGAGAGCGACGCGGGTGTCACCAGCGGCTCGGACACCCCGCAGGTGGGCGCCAAGGGAGTGGAGAAGGGACAGGGGGTGGCTCAGGAAAGAGGAGCTCGCGAGGTGGTTGGCTGCATCTTCCTTCAACCAGCAAGGTCTTCTCAAAGGGCGGGGGGCTACATGTGTAGCCCCAGCTTGGCACGGGCAGGGTGGGCAGCACCTACCCTCCATGGGTGTGTTGGGGTCCGGCCTGTTGGCGAACACCACGTCCACGTACTCCAGCTGCAGCCGCTCCAGCGAAGCCTTCAGGCCTGGCACGCGGGGGAGCGGAAGGCGTGAGGAGCGCGGCCGGCTGCCCGGCACAGCCCGGCGGCCCCGGCGCCCCTACCTTCAATGATGTGCTTTCTCGACAGCCCTCGCTCCGTCTCTGCCCTGCAAGAGCCAAAGACGCGGGTCAGCAGAGGGGCTGGCGGCGGGCAYGGAGCCGCGCTGCGCCACGCGCCCTACGTACTTTCCTCCCCAGAAGATCTTGGTGGTTATGACCAGGCTGGATCGCCTACAAAGCAAAGCGAGAGGCCGGTCAGGAGCAGCCTGGCGGCAGCACAGGGAGCTGCCGTGCCAACGGCAGCAACGCGGAGCTGCGGCCCGGRGCGCTGCTGTTACCTCCAGCCTTTCTTCTTAATGATGTTTCCTAGCACGACCTCGGCCCTGGAAGGAGGGGAGGGAGATGCAGCAGTGAATGCACTCTGCGAGCTTGCCCTGCCCTGCTGCCCTGCCGTGGATGAGCAAGAGGGGGCTGCGAAGGGCGCAACCCCTTCACCCCGGCGCTGCGGGGACGGCGAGCGCGCTGCGGGCACACCAGGGTGTCACCTCCTGGGAGAGCTTGCCAAGGACTGCAGCGCTTTAACAAATGCGAAATGACGTCCCAAAAGGAGCGCAGGGGAGCGGAATGATTTAATTATTTCCACTCTCCAAAGTTTGAAGCCAACCTGCACGACAAGAGCTTCCCTTGTGTAAAGAGCGCAGAGCAGGACAGCGCTGCGGCGTGGCACGGCCTGCCCGCTCGCTGCAGGGACCCGCTGCTTCCCAGAGCCTCTCAACGCTCGGAAAGGAGAGCGGCTTTGGGGAAGGACAAGCAGCAGCAAGCAGCAGCTTGGGGAAGGACAAGGGAGCCTTTGCTATTGTGGCGATAGCGCTGTGCAAGCCTTTGCAGGGACGCAGGCGGAGGCTGCAAGGGGATGGAGGCCACGTGGGCACCGCGAACCTCGAGCGGCTGTGAGCGTGACCGGGCACGCAGCGGGGTACATACTTGCCGGCAGCGTAGACCTCGGCCGTATCGAAGAGGTTAATGCCATTGTCGTACGCTAGTGTCATCAGCTGCTCTGCCATCTGCAAGGGAAGGGCGGCGCGCCGGGCGTCGAGGGGCGCGCAGGGCAGCGCGCGGCCCGCGGAGCGCAGGCTGGGGCCGGGGCCGGGCGCGGGGCACGCGGTGCTGTCCTGCACCGCAGCCCTCCTTACCTCGTCCGTAACCTGCCCGCCGAACGTCACCCATGTCCCTGGGAAGGAGAAGGGCAYGAGCTGGACGGGGTGGCAGCCCCGTATCCTGAGGATCCCCCCAAAAGCCCCGCTCCAACCTCCCAAGCAGCCACCGGCCGCCTCGCACCTCGTGCGGCCGGTGCCACCCACGCAGGTCAGTGTTAGYGCCCGGCGGGTCTGCGCCCGCGCTGTGCCCGTGTGCCCGCTCACTTACCCAGGCCGAGGCAGGACACTCGCAGGCCGGACTTCCCGAGGTTCCTGAAAGACAGGACCCCCCTGAGGAGCAGCTGGGGCCGGGCCGGGGCGCTGCACCCCGCGGTGCTGCCCACCCGGCGTGGGGCACCCGCCCGCCTCGGGGCTAACCGCAGTGAGTGGCGAGGCCAGAACGGCCCGGCCAGGGGCACAGGGGACTCGGCCGGAGCGCCGCAGCAAGGGGGGAACCACGGCGGGGCGGACGTGGGGGCTGCAGCGGCGCCGGGCACAGGCGCTGCGGCACCTCCTGCGCCCACGCAGCGCTGCAGCATTCTTGGGAAACGGTAGAGCACCCAAGGACTGTACAGGGAGCACAGCCCCAAGGCAAGTACAACTTCGTGGCGGGTACAGGGTGCACGCGGGTACAGCCCCACAGTGGGTACAGCTCCACAGAATCACATAGATTCATAGAACAGTCAAGGCTGGAAGGAACCTCTAGAGATCTAGTTCAACCTTCCTGCTCGAGCAGGGACACTGAGAGCACGGGGCACAGGGTGGCATCCAGGCGGGTTTTGAAGACCTCCAGAGAAGGAGGTGGTGAGGACCCCGTGGTGAGTGCAAGGAGCATGGCCACATGGCCAGTACAGCCCCACGGCGGGTACAGGGAGCACGACGGATACAGCCCCACGACGGGTACAGGGAGCACGACGGGTACAGCCTCATGGCGCGTACAGGGAGCACAGTCGTAGAGCGGGTACAGTCACAGGGCGGGTACAGCCTCATGGTGGGCACAGCCGGCACGGCCCCTCACTCGCCCACATGGTGACTTGGCGAGGCCRCAGGCGGCAGCGACCTCGTGACGCTGCTGCGCGTGGCCGGGCCGGCCCTGGGCTGCGCGGGCGGCAGCTTCGCAGCGCTGCCGGGGGCCTCATGGGGACAGCGCCGGAGCAGAGCCCACGGGAGCACTGGAACAGCCGCCTGTGCCRGCAGTGCAACCACTTGGGTGAGTTGTGCCCATTCTCAGGGCACTGGACGTGGCTACAGCAACCCCTGGGGGCTGAGCGGTCAGCTGGGGCGATGAGGTGCCCCAGTAAAAGAGCTGGCGTCAGGAACAGGCGGCTCCGCTCGGGGGCTGCTCTGCTCGTGGACCCCGTGTGCCCGCGCACAGCGAATTCTGAGGGCAGAGCTCCGAGCGAGGTGCCCCAAAATAAACAGTGTAGGTGAGCGGTGCCGCCCGCGCGCGGCTGCCGCTGCCAAGTCGCGTAGCAACTGCGCGGGGGCCCCGCGCCGGCACCTCCGCACGGGCACGTCTGTGCGGGAGCCTCCACATGGGCCTGTCTGCGTGGGCACCTCTGTGTGGGCACCTCCGCATGGGCACCTCCGCACAGGCACGTCTGTGCGGGAGCCTCCACACAGGCCTGTCTGTGTGGGCACCTCTGCGTGGGCACCTCCGCATGGGTCCCTCCGCGTGGGCATGTACGTATGAGCACCCCTGCGCAGGCACCTCCACAGAGCTGCCACCGTGGCCCAGTGCAGCCATGCCCGCTCTGCCCCGCGCAGCCCCCGGGCAGCCCCACGGCCGCAGGGAGCTGTGCGAGGCGCCGCGGCGCGCTCCGCGTGCGCATGCGGGCGAGCAGACGGGCAGCAGCACCGGCCGCCGAGCCCCCCGGCTGCAGCCAGCCGGGCACCGCGCTGCAGCCCCACACTGGCCACGCTCCGCGGGCAGCAAGGCCACGGCCCTGCACTAACCCCGGCCAAGTGCTGCATCCCGACCCGCCTCTGCCTGCACGGGATTCCTAGGGTGCACAGAGCACCCAGTGGGGACAGAGGGAGCGCTGGGCCGTGCAGCACCGCGGTAGGGACAGGTGGAGGCCAGCGTGCCGGCCAGAGCAGGGAGAGTCGCGCGCGCTCGCAGAGCAGCGTGGAGCGGCACCACCGCGCGGCCCGGGAGCAGCGCGGCGCGGGGGACGGGCGCGCGCCGCTCCTACCTATACTTCATGCCAGGCTGCTTGACGCTGGACTCGCTGGACGAGGGCGCGTTCTGCACGGAGAGCTGCCCCAGGCTGCGGGCCACCATGGCCACGGCGCGGAACTTGCTGCGCGTGCCCAGGCTGGGGCTGCTCGCATTCTGCCGGTTCAGGCGCTCCTCCGCGCTCCGGCTCTTGAGGCTGTGCTCGGAGCACACAAAGGAAACCTGCATGGTGCCGCGCGCGCTGCCGGCGCTGCCCGCAGAGCTGCCCACGGCCGCGGGCGCCGCCGCGC